ATAGTCAGTATCTTCCCCAAAGCACAGGTTGTTCCCTTCAAGACTCTGTGCAGGACATGCTGTCGGCCGCCTACTGGCTGAAGCAGGCTTGGCTTGAACGGCTCCAGGCTTTAAGTGGTCTGCGGCTATCGGCGCAAGGCTAGGATGAAGGGTTTGGATTGTAACTGCAGGACTTAGAGCACTTCGTTGTTCGCGTTAGGACCCGAGGTCTGGAAGTTAATACAGTCCCACATCTTAATCTCAAGGGTGCGAGCCGAAAGCTGGAACCTGAAGTCCCAAGCGTCGTGTCTCACCCACGAAGCTGTTTCCCTGTGTGCTGTGGTCTGAAGTAGCTGAACCCGAACCCGGGCTGTAGGCACATGTGGGATTGAGATCTAGCAGGTTCAGGGCGTAGCCCATTGGGGCTTGGGGTTTGCCTTCGCTCTCGGACCGTCTGTGTTCTGCCCAGGGTCTTGAAACTGGGCTTGCAATCCCTGAACCCCTGACACCCTAAACCTGGAAACGTCCATGAAGCAATCCCCAAGCTCCGAACCTTAAGCCCCGAGCCGAACCCTAAGACCTAAACCCGAACCGTAATGCAACAATCTCAGGTTTGGGAGACTGGCAAGTGTCCGGAGAGTCAAAATCTTAAAGGACTTCAAGACTCACGACAGATCGAAGCCCTAAACCATAAAACCTAAGTCCTGGCGATTCAATTTGGGGGTTGAGGGGCGTTCTTGTCAGGTGGCCCTTTATGGACTTTTTCCCAAAGTTCCCTTATGGTCATGTCGAATTACTTTTTGGGGCCCTTAAGCTTAAGCAACAACCCAGCAAGCCATACCTGAATCCCTGAGACTCCAAAAAGTCCCAGTCCCTTGACATCTTTCATCCGACACTGTAAAAAACTCAACACCCGCTTCCACAAATGTGTAACTTGATTCCTTGACTCCGCTAAACAAGTCGACCCCAAACACCTTACAGCCGGCAAAGCCATCTGAAGGCTGACGGTCGAACAATAGCAAAACGCCGTAAGGACAGACAACTACCTGTAAAGCCGTTTAAAACCCTCGCCTTGAACCTGGTCAAGCCTCCAGACCATTCCTATTGAAGTTTGTTTTGTCCCACTGCTCCTTTGAGCGCCCTAATAAGTGGTCCCTCCCAAAGCCCCATTCCCCCAAACCCTAAGCCCATCTAAGCCCCCGGCCCTAAACCGTAGACCCTGGACCACAATCCCTAAACCCGTGTAAACATAGACTGTAATTCCGAAAGCGACTGCTCCATGCAGGCCGCGGCAAATCGACACATTCAGGCACCTTCTTTTTTTGGGCTCTTTTTTCAGATGTTTTTTTGTTTTTGGGGGTCTTGTTCAGATTAAAGGTTCGGATTAAAGGGTTAAAGGGTTTACGGGCTTCGGGTGAAAGGGTTTAGGTGTACGTGTAACACCGTGTAATGGTTCAGGATTCTTGGTTTTTTAGGCTTATTGTTTTGTTTAAGGGTTTGCAAGATCCTTTATGGCTGAGGGTTTCAAGGTTATGGTATGGTGCGTCTCGCTTTGAAGTACGTGCCTTGAGGGGGACCGTGTGGTAGACTGACCCCGTCTTTGTGTACAGTTGTTTTGCCAGATTGTCTCCGGGTCTCAGGATGTTTGGGAACTCAGACTCTCAGTGCGACTTCACGAACTGCCGCTTCTGCTGATCGGTGAACAGTGGCTCGCTAGCGCAGTGCTGTAGACGTAGGTCCAAGACTTTTCGTCCAAGACGGCTCCGATGGCTTGTAAGTCCGGAAGTGCCGAAGCTACGTGGTTCGTTTGGTGTTTCGAGCATTGCTTGAAGCCCGAGCAGGCCGTAGTACGCAAGGAGTTGGCGGCTCTTGCGACCAAGTTCGGATGCAAGTTGGTGTGCCACAAGAAATCCATGAGCTTTCTCAGATGGCTGGAGGGCAGGAAGGGGAGCACACTGCTCGTTGCAGATTGGCGAGAAGCCAAGCCCATCATGGAGGAGGTCAGTAAGCAAAAGGGCCATGACTTGCGCATGTGTGTCGTCGCACAAACAGCAACGATCCTTCGCCGCGCATCGTTCTGGGCACGTGCTCAGAATGGATGTGCAGAGATCATGGTGACGCCGGGCTTCTTGCGACACAAAGTGGAGGAGTGGATCGCAAGGTATGTGCAGGTCGTGCAGGCCAAGCGCATCACAGAGCCGGCTATGAGGACATGTGCTGAGATCCCCGTGAGGTCTACAAACGAATGGTTATCCCTTCCCAGCCTTCTTGAAGCCGTAAATGACCCCAAGCAGGCTCTTGGACTTGAGAAGCTCATTCGTCAAACGATGTGGCAACTCTACGAGGACTGAGCCGAGGATGATCAAACTCAAAAGGCGGAAAGCTGATGGGGCGAGAGCGAAGATCGCAGGAGCCCGAGTAGTCTTCTTTCTGGCCAATCCTGCAGAAGTTGGCAGGGACCTTTGTTCTCCAGGCCTTATTAGGTCTTTTTTTGAGGCCCAGGCTTTCTATCGGTGTTTAGCCATGCCTCGCTACCTATCCTAGGCAGACCGGCAACTTTTTTGAGCTCCGAAGTCCAGGCAAAATTGCTTGCAGCCGGATACACCGAGTTTCGGGTTTTAGGGCTTTTAGGGTTCAGGGTTCTGTCCGCGGCAAGGCCTTCGAGCCCATCAATGGTGGACACTCTGGCCACTTTAAACCCGAGGCCCTGAGCTCTCATACCGCAAAATTCCTGTACGCTAACCCCCAAACCTTATAGCCGGACGTCAAAGCCGCAGCAAGGAAGCTTTAGGTTCCTACGGTTGCGGTTTGCAGCGTAACGAAGCATAACATCCTCTGATAAGTTCACGCAGCCTGCAGCACTACACTCCACGGGCTGATGACTAAAGCCTTGGACAGTGAAAAGCTTCACATCACATTGCAAGACGCAGCATGTGTCCGTGGGGCCTCCAAGCTCTGGTGGCTTCCATGGTCTCAGGCCACCTGCGGCGTTTTGGCACCTTCATACTTGTTGCATCTCGTTGCCGACAGACGACTTGCCATCGCATTTGCAGAACATGTGCTACTAGGACCGGTGTGGCGTTGACGAAGCTTTTCGCACCATTCATGGTGTCACGAAAGATGAAGGCACCTTTATTCAACGGCAGGGGTCAAAAGCACATGAGCAATCATATGCTGCCGGGCAAGCACATCGCAACGCCACCTCAATAGACGGAGACAAGTATATGAGAGCTCAGCTCCTCATTCGACAGCCCTCCGGCGTCGTTAGCCTTAGAGCCGGACTAGACGTGCCATCATCTATCATAAACGAGGTAAAACTCATAAGCATATAGAAGTCTTGATCATTGAACAAGCGGCCTCGAGAGCTGGCATGCAAGCTTCCTCATCGTTAAACGTGGTCACAGATCGGAGTCGACTCCCCTGAGTCCTCTGTCTTAGTTCGTAGTTCAGGCCCAAGTGATGCTGGGCAACATGCTCCTGAACGGCGAGGGCATTCGGCGACTCTGGGAGTCATCGCGGAAGGGTTCTGAGGGGGTCTTGGCTGTCTGGGCTTTGGGGTTCTGGGAGTTTGGGGGATCTTGGGGCCAGCGGGATTGCAAGGGTGCAGCGTTCATGCTTCGTGCTCGAGGCTGCAGGTCACATCCGAAGTTTCCAAGTATGTAAGCCCAACGCGCGAGGCAGGGCAAACATGCATGCCACAGAGAGGCTCACTCCGAGCGCAGTTCCATTTCTCCATAGCGGGCCAACGTCAGCAAGAAGGTTCCAGGATCCGTGCCCTCTTCTCGAAGGTGGTTTTGCACAGATTTACGGATGTTTCTACAAGTCGAGTGTTGGTCCTGTGTTCACAGCATTGCCAGTCTTGAGAAACAGCGCTCCAGTGAGCAGCTTGTCGAGTCTAGTGTCCTCGACTAGTTGGTCATTACAGTAGCAGGTAGTAGGTAGTGGTGGTAGCAGTAGAGGCAGTAGTTGTCGTCGTCGTCGTCGTCGTCGTCGTCGTCGTCGTCGTCGTCGTCTTAGTCGTCGTCGTCTTAGTCGTCGTCGTCTTAGTCGTCGTCGTTGTCGTCGTCGTCGTCGCCTTAGTCTTCGTCGTCGCCCGAGTGGTCGTCGTCGTCGTCTTCGTCGTCGAGCAGTAGTGGTAGCAGCAGCAATAGCGGCAGCAGCAGCAGCAGCAGGAGTTGTGATGCAGGGTTAAATACTCGATGCGGACCCATCGTGCGCTTCCATCGGGCAAGGCAGTGTGACAACCAATACTAGGATGGGGCCCCTTTTTGATTGCACATTGTTCTTCTTCTTCTTGTTATTGTTGTGGTCGTCGTTGTTACGATTGTTAGTAGTATTTGTTATGTGTTATGCATCATGTGTTATATGTTATGTGTGGTGTACTGGGTATGATGTGTTGTGTATTGTGTATATTATGTGTTTTTGTGGTATGTTTTATGTATTATTATTGTTACCATCATTATTGCTATTCTTATTGTTGGTATTATTGGTCGTCCCCGCCTCCTAAGCCCAAGGAAATGCGACGCTGGCCGGCTCTTACTTCCTCGGGGCTGCCAAGCAAGGCTCCTCCGAGGTGGCCCCCCCCCCCCCCCCCCCAACAGCCAAAACAACAACGCCAAGACACGTCCGAGGGACGTATATGGGATAGTTGTCGGTGTTTTGCATGAGGATTTTTTGGTTTAAGGATCCGGGGGGTGCTTAAAGTATTGGTTCTGTGTTTAATCCATCAGATAAGCAGGATCTTTTGCCGATCCACATTTTTCAGAATTCCATAAGGTGTGTTGTGGATTCCTTTGGAATGTTTCGATTCCAAGCCGTGTTGTCCGGCCTGGTTGGCCATAGGGTTTGGTTTGAGGCTTGCAGAACTCAAAACCAAAACCACAAAGCCCTGAAGCCTCAAAGAAGCCGCTACCCCCCTCAATCAGACACTCAAAGCTCCCTGCACCTTCTTTGGAGTATTCCCATTGCTCCAGGCCCTTACAGATCACAAGCCCTGTGAGGCACAGGAGGTGGTTGGGCAAATGTTTCGGACCGGCACCGGCTTCCCGCCTGACAAGGTCGGAGGGAAGCGTGTTTTGTCCGGCTTGCTGGCTAGGCTGCAATAGCTGACATGCATCTGGCATTTTCAGTCTTGGCTCGGGCCTGAACCCTGCCCACTGGTCATCACTACTAGCTAGTGGGATTGGTCTTCTGCCCTTGAATCCTTTCCTCTCCCCTCTGAGCTCGAGTCTCTCCCTCCTTCCTATCGGCTCGCCTCTCTGCCTGCCGGAGCTCTACGCCTCTCTGCAACAAACCTTTGCTTCTGGGCTGACTTGAGGCTTGGCGTGTTGAAGGCTTAGCTTCTGCTTTCGCAGGCATAGCAATCATCTGCCAAATGGCAAGTTGTCGAGCCGTTCGGCTTGTTTGGAGCATACAGACCTCCAGCCTCAATGCTTACTGTACACCAAAAACCTTATCCAAATACCTTCAAGCTGACGCAGCCCAGAACCGCAAGCCCAAATGCCGCGGACATTCTGCACAAATGCCAGGCTTCAAACTCTGGGTACAGAAGCTTCTGCACGATTACAGTGTTGAGTATACTGAGCCCAAGACGAGAAGGAATAGCAGACGCGATCCCGAAACTCTATGCCCTGAAGGCCGGCAAAACCTAAAGCCCTTAACCTCAAAGTGCTAAATTCTTGAAAGCCCTGGCCCTAAACGCCAAAACCGCAAGAACCCAAACCCAAACGATGGCCATGGTCCAGGCTTCGGCAGTGACCTGGCTCGTGGAAGCCTGCGAGCAGGGCCGTGCTGAGGTGCTCGCGAAGCTGATTTGGAACAGCGGCTTCGGGGTTTGGCAACAGGGTTCGGGGGTAAGAGTTCAGGAGCTTTGGACAGGATTCCAGGATGCAGGCTTTCGGGTTTAGGCCGGCTGTTTGCCGCATCTGCAGATTGAGATGTCGCTGTCATATAGCCGCTAGCCACCGCATGCGTCATCACCACGAGTGTCAGAGAAACCATCCTTATCACAGCCGCGACCACTGTTGCAACAGTCATTGTTTTTCACGATCATTCTCGTCGTCATCGTCATCTCGTCATCGGCATCATCATCATCGTCATGGTCGTCATCACCACCATCATATCGTCGTCAGGATGGAGGATCAGCATATGACATTTGCCGTCCTCCTTGTGATCATCGTCATCACTATCATCGTCGTCATCATCGCCAGCATCATCTCCACCAGTATCGCCGTCATCATCGTCATCATCATCATCATCATCATCACCATCATCATCGTCATCAGCATCGTCATCATCATCGTCATCATCATCATCATCATCATCGCCATCATCATCGTCGTTGTCATCAGCATCAGCATCAGCACCACCACCACCACCATCATCATCATCGTCATCATCGTTAACCGATGTCAGGCCCGCCGTGATTGCAATCATCATTAGCGGCATCGGGTTCAGGCCCATCATTGCAATGGTTCCGGCCGGACACCAAAACCAAATATCTCAAGAACCTGCTGAGCCTGAAAACGCAGGGCCCAACGCCACCTGCTTGCAGGCCTGCCTGGCCCTGGCTTCCATGTACAGAGGGGGCGAGGCAGGCACGCGAGCGTGCGCCCTGCTCTCGAGCGCCGCAGTCCATAGCCGAAGGTTCCATCGCTCCTCTGGTCTTCTTCACCGCCGCACCCTCAAGCCCTGAAGCCCAACTTCTTTAATGCCTAGCCCGTTCCTGGTAATCCCGAAACCCTAAACTCAAGCTTCTGATCCGCAACCTTTGAGAGCGCCCCCGTCGCCAGGGCATGCGGGGTGACCCAGCGGCAGCGCTGTACTATTTCAAGAAGGCCCCCTAAACGCTGCACTCTACAATGGCGGTTGGAGCATGAGCAACGGTGCAGGGTTCGGAGTTGTGAGACAATGTGACTAGAGTCTGCGCTAAAGGGTCAACAACAGCAGACACTCGAGTAGCAAGATCCGCATCGCCCAGAAAAGGGACCCTCAATTTTCCTCAAGCCCAGAAATGGGCGCTGAGGAACTTAGAATTGCTGACCAGGCCAGCAGCACTCAGTCGAGATTTCGAGCCTTAAGAAGGACGGTTAGTGCAGGGTATCCTCGTAGCTAAGTCAGGCAGCGGAAGGGGGCAGCGCCGAGGGCGCCAACGAGCCCGGGCCGCAGCGGCGGGTCCTCGTTTAGACTTGCCTCGGGCTGTGTCGGTGTGGGGACTGTCTGATTTGTCTGCGGGTTCGCTGGGGCTCAGAGATGCAAGCAGTCAGCACACCTGCTCCAGATGCAAGTTCCACCACCCCAAACCGCTGGCAAGACGAAAACTTTCTCCCAGTCGCTGCAAGATCGAGGCTGGGCATCATGTACCTCACTGGGGAGGGCACGGTCGCAAATGAGGCAGGGCCGACCCGGTGGCTTGTGGCTTCGGCTTTGGTGAGTCTTTTGATTTTGAGTTACAGTATGTGATGTGCATACAGAAGATTTGGGGATCTGAAATTGGACTTCAGGCGTGTGGTGTAGGAAGTTGCTTGGAAACTTCAGGCTATGTTCGGGGGTTCAGGATTCAGTCAGGCATGCGTACTAGACCCCTCTCAGTCAGCAACAAGTTGACGATTTTAGGCATGAATGCGCTGAGCGATCAGTAGTTTTTCCACCTTGTTCGGTCTACTTTATGACAGGATTTAGGATGGCCAGAAGCCTTGTGCCCCCAAGCCACCCCCCGACCGATTTTCTAGACACCGGCAGGAAGCCTCAGCTTATTGGTTCGAGCGTGGCACGGAGCTGGAGGCCTGAGTGTGGAATTGGCTCCGTCATGCGCATCCAACTGACGTGGAGAGTGAACATGGAAGGGTGGGATCGAATTGTAGAGCTTCGTTGTCCAGGAGGAACGAAGAGCCGCTGAGGAGTACAACGACGCTCCGTGAGATTCAACCGGGGTTCCAAAGCCGGACCCGCATCTCGGAGCTGCCTAGCTTGGGGAGATCGCGTCGGAAGCCCGGGAGAGGCCGTGCTCGACAATCCGCCTCTGACAGGGTCACCGAGCACGTCGACAGGTTGATGATGGCAAGCATCCGGTCTCCGTGCTGTGGGCTGGGAACAGCGGCAAGAGCTGCCACCAAAGTTTGCAACTCCCGAGCAGCAGAGGCTCCTGGCGAAGATTTGAAGACGGAAGTCATGGCGTGTCTCGGCACTCGCACGCCTGCGGCGAAGAAGATCTCTACTTCTCATGGAGTCTGTCATTGTGGCTTTACGTCCAGAGTTTCGGTCAAACTTGGAGCATCAGACAAACATGCCATCCTGAAGTGTGCGCAGCAGACTATGTGGGTCAAACGGTACTTCGTGCCGGGGATAAATCGGATTGGTGTGCGTCTGATAGGGTGTTTACCTGGGCCCATATACTTTGAACAGAGCTTCACCAACAAAGCCTTTACATATCTGGACGGAGAAATAAGTCCACCAGAATGTGGTTCGCCTGCATTGTTCTGGGCGGAAGACATGTAGAGTCATGTAGAGCGAATGTAGAGGTGTCAGAGACTGGGGCTTTGGAGATTAGGGTTTGGGCTTAGGTCCTGTAGGTGCTGGACCAGTGCCATTGTCATGTCCGGTGTGACAAGCCGCAATACCCGAAATCCTCTTACAGAACTCTCGCAAGGATCTGCCCACCGCAATGTTTTGGCTCGGCTTTTTTGGGGGCGAGACCCAGGTTGTGCCAGTAGTCCAGGCACAGAAGGCGTTCCCGGGCGGGTTTAGGGTCTAGGATCCTCTTTTGGGTTTAGGGATCGGGGTTGGGGGTTTTAAATTTAAGGTTTCGGGTTTGTTGGCCCGGAGTTTGAGGCCTCCTTCGTGTCTCGCAGTCCACATAATGTGATCTAGCCTGGATGGCATTCATGAGCTTTGGCTTGTTCTGAGCTCGGCCAGCTTTAGATCTTGAGAGGGAGTGCAGTGCAGTACAACCATTGTAACAGCGAGCGGAACTTGGAACAACCCCAGGTCTGTTTCTCTGAGGACTTCTCGTTAAGATTCTTCAAGGGTCCCTTCCGCATGAAAGCCCAGAGGTTCCAAAACTAGGAGCCTCAGCAGCTGGAAGTTTTGGTTTAAGTTTTGGTTTCTGTCAAGCCTACTGACAGCTAGAGGGCAGACATCTACAAAGCTTCGAGTGTGTCAGGGTATGGGGCTTTCGCGAGAGCCGAATGTGAAGGTCCTCACGGAGTCTCAAAAAAGATGACACAAGCAGCAGCAAAAGCCACAGCATCTCAGCAGAGAAGTGACCAGGAGGAGACCCAAGAACGAAGGAAGAATACACAAATGAAGCACCGCCCAAAGACCAAGCTTTCGGGCCCTAAAGCGTCAGCTTGGCAGGGGCGCCATGGCTCTCGTAAGTACTGGTCAGCCGGCTTGATCCCTACCGAGCGCAGCTGTGGGGCTGTAGCCAAGACCGCTGCAGCGCGGATTTGTGGAGGTTTTGTGAACTCTGAAGGTCCTAAGCCGTCAACCGTAGGTCCGTAGGTCCGGGATTTGAGGGACCGGGGGCTTGTTTCTTCGTAGGGAAGTTTCGGGCGAAGGGAGTAGAGGCCTGCTCATCTCGGCACACAACGCTTGCTGCAAGAACCAAATTGTTGGCTTTGGCACTCCACATGTTGGGAAGTGGGTCATGAGCTCTGGGCTACAAAGCGGGACCAACCTCCTGAAGCCAACGCAGGTCGCAGTTTGCCAAACCCTGCAGCCCGAAGCACGACATCCTCCAAGCTCTTGAAAAACCTGAGCCTGAAACCGCCTGCCCCGCACAACAAGTGCCTTGTCTCATCCGTGTGCCGAACCCGGAAAACTCTCGAACCTCCAGAAGTTTCCGACAAGGAAGCCAAGCGGGCGAAATACACGGGAGGCGCCGAGCTTGCTGCCGCCTTAGGATTGCTCTTGCTTGTTCGGGTCCGACACTTCTTCAGAGGCTCTGATCTAGGACTTGCAGACTTGGAGTGGAAGCTATGGGCGGAGCCGGCCCAGCAAGCCGAAGCGCCGCGAGACTCGTGGAGTAGTGTCTCTGGAAGTACGACTGGTTCAGTCTAAACCGGAGGCCCGACACCCCGAAGCGACGTAAAACCCGAAGACACACCCTGAACTTCACTCACCATTCCCCAAGCGCTAGAACCTATAGAGCCGGTCCCCAATCGGTGGCTCCTCCAAGGTCCCTGCGCTGCAGGAGCAGCTCATCCATGCCGGGAGCTTTGCATGCCTTGCTGGGTTCACGGGCTCAGGCTTCTCGTGGTTCTAGTGTTGTGTGTGTGTGTGTGTGTGTGTTTGATGCTGGGCTTTAGGCGGCTGGGATGTAGGCTGTGACTCAGCGTGAAAGACTGGGGCAGCACCTGCATCAAAATGCAACTGGCAGCCTGGTGAAGCTCCAAACCTTCAATCTTAAGCCCTGAGCCCAAACCACCCTCTCGGCACAAGGACTTCTAAATCCTAATTACACCCCAGATTCCGAAACCTAGATCCCAATCCCGACGTTTACGCAGCCTCGAAAGGTGCAGCCCACATACAGACCCTAACTTGTGCATGGGATCCTCACAGTAGCCCCTACAGTAGGCACCCTTACATGCTTGAAACCCCAATGTTGTCCTCGAGCTCCACCTCGGAAATCCAGCAGTGTGAGTGTCAATTCGGAATGCGCCTTGGGGTTCAGGGTTTCAGGCTTGGGGGTTCAGGGTTTGGCGTTAGGGGTTTCGGGATTCGACTTTGAGGGAGCCCAGGAAGACTTTTCAACTGTGAAGGCCAAAGCCCGAATGCGAGAAAGGGGCCAAAATCGAAAGCTGCACTGCGGGCCCTGAGACCTAAACCTCCACCGCTATTTCGGATCTTGTTTTCGCGAAGGGCTGAAGTCGAGTTCCCTGTGCCCTGAACCCGGAGGCCTTTAGCGGAAACTTTAGCGCCTCTGCTGCATCCTCCGTGATCTCATGCAATCCTTCATGAGCCACTGGCCCTGGTCATGACACGAAAAACCTGAAATCTAGTCCCCAAGTCCTAGGCCCTCGACTCCAAGTCCAAGTCTAAGGTGCAGCATGTGAACCGGAAGAGTGGCCTGTTCGGCCCCACCATGCTGCTTACGGGCCACGATGGGGAGGCACCGCTTGATAGAGTTAGCAGTAATTAAGCAGCCGTGGCAGCAAATTGAACTGCTACTGCCGGTTTCAGCTGTTGCTGAAAGGACGACGGCTACTGTTGTATCTAATCGACGGACTGACTCCTTGGCAGGTTGTGGAAACACTACCCCGGCTGGGTCCCACGTCCCAGCACTTCCAAGCCCAACTCCCAACTCGTGTTGTTCTTTTCTCCGGCCGAGGGGCAACAGTGAAAGCTTCAGCTTTGGAGGTGTTTTGCTCAGAATTCTCTCCTGATGGGCGGGCACTGGCGACCGGCTCCTTCGACAAGTCCATCTATCTCTGGAATGTCGGCGCCTGATTGGGTCTCTGTCGATTTGCGATCCGTGTCTGCGCTTTCACAGACCCGAGAGTGGTAGCAACACATCGTTTAGCGAAGGTCCGTGAGGAGAGGCACAGGATATCCAAACCGGTTGGCAGTTTGTGCCGTGGGCTTCCGGGCAAGACGGCCTGAAAAGCAGCAAAGCCAAGAGCCCTTTGCGCGCGCAGCGTTGAATCCTGGGCCGTCGAAGCCGGAATCCCTAAAGACGACCTCTGAAGCCCCAGTCCTTGAAGGCTTTTCAACCAACAGCCAGAGCACGAAACCCAGAGTCAGAAATGACACATGAAGTGAACAAACACAGTAACCAGGTTTGGGGCCGTTTGGGGCTTCGGGTCTAGGATGTGGGGTTCCGGGATCAAAGTTTACGGTTTATGGACATTGGGTTTTGGGCTTTCCGGTGGAGATTCCCAAGACAGCCAAGACGACAGACGACCTTACTGTAGGTACAAGACTGAAACCTGAAGCCTCGCCCGCCAAGGCCTTACACCTCGAAGCCTGACAGCCTAAAATGCCTAAAACACCCGGAAGCCTCACCGTGCCCCAGCGCAGAGTCCTGGAGCCTCGAAGCGCCGCATTCTGAGAAGCACCCCAAAACCATCGACCCAGAATGTCTTGAGGTGTATGGTGAGTGTGAGAACTACGGCGTAATGAAAGGCCATGCCAACGCTGTCTTGGAGGCCTCTCCGGTTGCCCGATGCTGTCTTCTGACTTCTTGCAAAGGGGTCCTTGTTCTGTTCCTGTGGGTTTCGACCTGAAAGCTGAGACCGAAGCCCTGACTGTGGAACAGCTTCAGATTGCTCAGATTGCCCTAGGCCCTAAATCCGGGAAGAATCGAAGAGGTGCACTGGAAGCATGACGGCACTCAGCTTTACAGCTGCTCCGCCGACAAGAGCGTGTGCGTATGGGACTGCCGGCCGAAGCGCTATAGGCATGTCTTGGGTTCAGGGTCCAAAGGCCCAGTCCAGTAGCGATGCCTTTTCTGTTCTGTATTGATCTAGGTCTCGTTTCCAGGTACTCTCCAGGTCTCTGGGTGCTGAAAGAGCTTGAAACTTGCGGCGTCCATTCCTGGTTTTGGTCTTGGCCTACAGAAATTGAAATAGCTTGAACTCTGCCAAAAAAGCAAAACCAATCCCTGCAGGCAATGGCTGCCGTTGGGCTCACATTACAGGGTACCAGAAGCTGACAGAGCTGTAGATGAATGGGTTGTCCATGCCCGGCATTGAACATCAGATTTGCTGAAACCAGGGCCGAATGCATTGAGCAGGCCTTGGATAACACATTTGGGTTTGCGCGAAGCTCCGCAGTTTATGGGTTGTTGCTGAATCAGGACAAATTTTAAAGGATGTTCGGATGTGGGGATGGCAATCAATCGAACAGCAGTTCGGCCGAAGCTAGGGCCGAATGGAAACTAGGGCCGAATGCGCTTAACAGGCCTTGCAAAGTGCATTTG